TATTAATATTTATATTAATTATATTATATAATATTTGATAAAATTTTCTTTGTATTATATTTTATAATTTTAATTAATATAATACAATATGAGACAAAAAACCAGATTTTTTTAAGAAATAAAAAGATGAGATCTTAGCTAAATTAAGTTTGATTTAAATTATGTAAAATAGTATATAATCATTAGATAAGTATATATATATATATATATTGTATCATTAACATTAAAATATTTTTATTTTTCCCCTTTCAATATATTTAATTTTAAAAAAAACCTTCAAAATCAATTCAATTAGAAATGATGATCTTTAATAAGAAATTAACCATCAAGCAATTTTACAATTATGGAATCAGGGTATTTAGAATGTTAAAGAAATTTATCAACACATTAGAATTTCCTTTATGATTGTATATAATAAAACTTGCTAAACTTCATGATATAAAATAATTCAGTGTATAGAAGGAAGTAGTTTTCTAAAAAGACAGTACTATAAATTAGGCCGTATTAGACAATATTTTGCAATCATAAAATCTTAATTCTGGCCGGAAGTTAACCGGTTAAAAAAATCTTTAACCGGTTAACAAGTTAACCGTTTTTAACCGGTTAATTAACCGGTTAAAAATTTAACGATTCCATTTAGCTGTTTAAGTTATCTTTTTCAATAGCTATCTGTTAGAAATTAAACTATCTTACAAACCTAAGCAAACGAAATGCTGTTGGTAACAATAAGAAATTTATATAACAAAAATACAATTATTTTTTCATATGTTTTATTACAAGTCACATACCGTTTGCCTCGACTTATCCTAATATACATTGATATGATATTATTTTTTGATAATCATCAAAATACGAATTTCATTTTATATGAACTTTAGGCACATTTACATCGTTTTACCCAGTTTAATAACTGGCGGATCGTGTAATAAGTAAATTTCAATGAAAAGGACAAACAATGATATAAATAATTTTATAAAATAAGTATTTATATAAAATGAAGGTAAAAGAAAAATGCAAATATATAGTGATAATTATGGAATAACAAGAAAATTAGTAACGGTAATAACAAATCTAAAAGAAAGATTACAAATCCATGAACTTGAAAAAATTATAATAAGCATACAATGTTTTTTACCTCGTAAAATAGTAAATTTTGCAAAGTTTAAATTTTTTTGGAATAATACGAAATTTTAAACAAATTTAATTTTATGCTAAATTTTTTAATCTTTGAAAAAATTATTTTGGTAAAGATTAATATATAAAAGAAATGTATGTATGAAAGATTAAGAAGAAAAGAAATGAACGAAGAAAGGAGAAATAGAATAGAATAGATAAGGAGGAAAAAGAACGAACGATGAAAAATGAAGTTCGAAAAAAAGAAGCAAAACAAAAAATAAGTAAGGTAAAGTAAATAACGAAAAACGTAAAAAGGAAAGAACAAATGAAGGAACGAACAAATAATAGAATGAAAAAGAAGGGGAGAAAATCAAATTATGGAATAACAAAGAAGGTGCGTAAAAAGAGGAATAAACATATATATGAAAATGGCAAATTGGGATAAATAAAAGAATGAAAAGGAAAAGAATGGAACAAGAAGATAAGAAAAGAAGGGAAGGTCGAATTAATAGGAAAGAAGAGTAAAATAAAAAAAAGAGAAAAAGAAATAATAATAATAAAAAAAGAGGATAGGAAAGTAAGAAAAAAGAGAACGAAATTGAGAAAAGAAAGGAACGAACGGATTTAAAAATTAGATACAAAAAACGTAACGAAAGTAAAAGGAGGAACAGAAAAAAGTTAATAAGTAGTAAGAAAAGGAACAAAACAAGTAATAAAATAAGAAACTAAATGCTTTTAAAATAGTATACTTGCTGTCGCGCGGCGGTGACCAAATTTTTTTTAAAAAAAGATAAAATGATGGCGGCGGCAGTGAAAATATAACTATAAATGTGGCAATTATTGCCAATACATATCATGTGATATTTAAAATAATTTATTTATATAGGGGGTAGCCTTTACCGTAGGTACATTTTATGCTCATTTGTTAGGGTGTTCTAGGAATCCCTACGTAAGATTTCACGGTAGTGTAAATATTTTATTTACGCTAAGAAGTGATTATAAGTGATACGAGTAACATACGATAAATTTTAAAATTATTAGAGTTAATCTATCTGATTTTAAACCTTCATAAATGAAAAAAGCTAATTCTTTCAGAAATACAGTAATTTGACTCGATAAAATTTTTCAATTATTTTTTTTTTTAGGTAATTACTTTCGCTTCAATATAAGCAATTTATTTCATTTATTCGTTAATTTTTATTTTATTTTATTTTATTTTTTTTTAGCAAGATTTCTTTAGCTTCTTACACTATTGGGTTGGCTTACTTCGGAAGTAAGCGCGTTATGGATTTTTATTTATTTTTACCGTAATTATCGTTTATATTATGTTCTATGATGAGAACGTGGTGGATCATTGAGTTACTCCTCGGCCACGCTAACTACTAAACAGTAATTATACAATTCACTCGAAATTTTGGAGTTATACTGTATATTTATTAATTTATATCACTTTTTATTATAATATTATATAATAAGTATTTACATATTAAAAAATGTCTCGACATTGCATCAAGGAAAGAAATTTAGAGGCATGTAATATAAGATATAAGACGATATACTGTATATGCAATAATGTTATTATTCTTACAAATTTTAAAACTACATTTCACAAACATGATTAAGTTATACAAACAAACGCAATCAACGCAGGAGTTTCGAATGCCATAACTACATTTGCCACCGCTAGGATTGCTTAAACAGGAAGTTGGTCTGAGAAAAGAAAATTAAAAAATTGTAAAAGAGATGAACCAGAGCATACGAAGACGACTGAAATTTTAATTATTTACCACCATAGTATTGTCCTTGTGGGGTACCTACAGGGCATACGCAAGAAGTGGAAACGCAAGCAGGAGTGGTGTTAAAGACAAAGAATGCGAAAGGCCAAAGATAAATAAGTTAGTTCATTTTCTTGTTTTTTTTTTTTAATTTTCAACGGCTGAGAATACCCTTATTTATGTTCAATTCATTGAAGTTCAATCTCAATGAACAAGTCCTTAATCTGGTCTTGCAAAAATTATAATTTTAATCGGATGATTTTAACAATGCAACTATGATTATTAAGTAAAAAAATATTTATATATTGTTTTTTAAAAAAAAACGTAGGATTTATGTAATACAAAGATTTATTTTAATGATCATTGTATCACGAAAAAAAATTTTCTTGCTGAAAATATTCTCCTAAATCTGGTTAGATTGAAAATAGTAGTTTCACTTTTTTCACTTACTACTTTTAGCTTAATTGTATTATTTTTTTTTTTTCTTTCGGGTTGATCACCTCCTGTTTAGTTGGGCATAAGGTTTTTTTTTTTTATTTCGTTTCTTTTTTAATTTCCGGGTTCAATCACTAACGGGCGCAGCGAAGGAATGATTTCTTTATTTTATTTTATTTTATTTTATTTTTTCTTACGGATTTGCGCCTTAGGTTCCTCTTTTGGATTGATTCATTTCCAAAAGTTTTGATGCGATGGAGATGATTTGTTGAAATTATGCCTCAGGTCACCCTATTTCATTTAATTAGGGTATTTAAACAATTCTCGGCAACTGATTGTACATTACGCCGACAGTACGCTTTATTAGGTTAGAACAAAGTAAATCCGTTGATGATTTCAGGATTTAACATTTAGTTTTAAATACTTTCAAGTTTCAGTAGTCTCAGTCTGACAAACAAATATTATCTAACACTATCAAGGATTTACTCTTGACCCATTTATTATCCTCTATCATATTAGCAAAACCATTAAATGATCATGATTCTGATAATTTACTAAATAACTAAACCACAAAACCTTTAATAATTAATTCAAGATGAAAATAACAATGGAAGGCACTAGGACAACAATGCTATTATAATTTTTCAGCGTAAGTACCAATGCTTTGATTAATTGATTTGAAGAAAATCTAATTATCCCTTATTACGAAGGAAATCAGTATCACAATTTTAATAGTGCAGGCAAACATTAAGTTGGTCACTACACCAATTTGTTCTTAATTGGAATTATTTCTTTAAATTGAATAATAGTGTTCTTAACTTTATATTTATAAACAAAGGAAAGTAAAGCGGAAGGTTTTAATATTAGATAAGAATTTATTGTGTTGCTCTCAGCGTCGGCAATCTACACTTCCGAAATTTTGCAATTAATTATATATTGTATTTATCGATTGTGATGAATGTTATACAAATTACCAAAAAAAAATTAAGTTGTTACATTGAATCAAATTTCCTTATTAGGACAACAAATAAAAAAAAAATTTAAAACATATGAGGAAAATGTTTTTTCCGTAAAAGGAATGATAGCCGGGGGCTGAAACTTGATAAATACATTCCCTTCTTACCCGTAACAATTTACAATTTCTCAATTAAAAAAGAAAAAATTTAATCGTAAAATGGATTTAGTAATTAACCCCGAAAAAACTTTGAAAGATTTGGAAAAAGGGATTCGGGATTTAGAACAAAATAAAAAGAAAACTGACGATGAAAATCAATTGCTACTCTCCTTTTTATTGAATGAAGTTGGAAGTAAGGATTTAAATAAATTAAGAGAATTATTATCTGGAAAGAAACTTACTGAGATATTAGCTGAATTAGATGAACAAAGGCAAGAAATTGAAAACTTAAATTATGATTTAAAAATAAAAAAAGAAGAATTATCAAAGTTAAGTTCTCAATTCAAACATTCAGAAAAAAAGGTTAAAGTGCGAGATGAAGAGGTCAAAGTCAAGCAAGAAACAATTAATTTCTTAGAGGAAAAGGTTAAAGAACAAGAAAAGGAAGCTAAAGTGAAGCAAGAAATAATTATTCATTTAGAAGAAAATGTTAAAGAACGGAAAGAAGCAGCTAGAAAGAATATTATTTTTTTGGAAGAAAAGGTTAAAGAGCGAGAGGAAGAAACCAAAATCAAACAAGAAATTATTAATGTTTTAGAGAAGAAAGTTAAAGTACGAGAGAATGAAGCTAAAGCCGATCAAAGAACAATTACCATTCTTGAAGAAAAGGTTAAAGATCGAAAAAAAGAAAGTCAAGACAAACAAGAAACCATTAGCAATTTAGAAGAAATGGTTAAAAAGCAGCTAGAATTTATTAACGATTTAAAAGAAAAGGTGGAAGAAAGGGATGAATTAATAAAGTCAAATCAAAAAGCTATTAATGAATTAAATGAACAAATTAGAAAGCAAGAAAGAAAGTCCGAAGAAACTATTGATGAAAAAACAAAGATCAAAAGTCAAGAAGAATTAGATATTAATTATGATGATTCAACTTTAAGCTTAACCATTACTAAGAAAAATAAATATGAAATATTAAAGACTTTAGGGGGTTTGCTAAGATATCGAAAATTAACAACTCTCCGCTGCGAAAATGTTCAATTAACTAGCTTACCAACTTTACCTAACTCCTTAACTTCTTTGAATGTTTATAATACTCAAATAACCCGCCTTCCAACTTTACCTAACACCTTAGTTTTTCTATGCTGTTCCTATACTAATATAACCAGCTTACCTTCATTACCTAATTCCTTATTAAAACTCAATTGCGACAATTCTGATATAACTAGCTTACCAACATTACCCAACACTTTACAAGAACTCTACTGCTATTATACTCTAATAACTAGTTTACCAGCTTTACCTAGCACCTTAAAAATACTCTTCTGCTATACAACTCAAATAACCAGCTTACCAACATTACCTTATTTAACTCAACTAAGTTGTTCCTATACTAAAATAACAAGCTTGCCTATTTTACCTTACACCTTGAAAAAACTCTTTTGCGATAATACTAAATTAACTAGCTTACCAACTTTGCCCAGTTCTTTAAATGTACTCTATTGTCATAATACTCATATCACCTGCTTACCTACTTTACCAAACAAATTAACCGAACTCTATTGCGATAATACAAAAATAACTAGATTACCAAACTTACCTAAATCTTTAACGCAATTATCCCCTAAATCTTTGAAAAAATCTTTCCCATAGTGTATACAATAGTTTTTTTTTCCTTTGGAAATTAGTTTAGGAGTAAGTTCAATTATTAAATGGTTGAATTATTATCATTTATATAAGCTTTACCCGAAAATGAAATATAATGGATCAGGAATTTATTTAAATATCCATCCACACTTCTTTTATAATAATAAAATCTGTTTTATATCGAAAAAATTTGATGAAATTTATATTGTTTTTATTTTGTATTTAAAATATTTTTTAAAAAAAGCAAATTGGACTACCAAATTTTGGCATGTCCAGTTTTAATTTTATATCAAGGCGGTTTGCTTTTTATGCAAACTCTTATTTTCATTTATTAATATTTCTTAAGATTTTAAAATTTATTATACGTTAAAATTAAAATATTTAATTTCAAATAGCATAATCGCAATTTATTAATAAATTGGTTAAAAAAATAGTCATTTTTAATTAACATATTAACATTAATTTAACCATATATTTTTGTTATACTTTAGATTTTGTATTTGTACTTTTCATTAAATTGAATGGTTTTTTGTTTATTTATGTATTATTGAAAAAATTAATTAATAATTTTGGACCGGTCTGGCTAAAGATATTTTGTGCAAGCCTTTATTTCAAAGTTTCAGTCAAGTAAAATTTCATTAAATACCATATCAATATTGTGAATGTACACTCAGGCTTGGGAATTTATAAAATTTACACTAAACTGTACTTGTACTATGAATTATTACAGAGTATCTTTTAAGCGTTTTTAAACGAGAAATAACTTACTTTTTTCATTAATATTTAGTCAATGTAATTTGCAACTTCAAGGAAGATAGCAACTGGCAAAAAATTTTAAGTATTAAGCTTATAAGGCTTCATAGATGCAAGAAATTTTTAAGATTTCGACGGTAAGGCAGATAGCTAATATAAAAATATAATAGAAACATATTTGTGAATTTATTTCTAATTTATTATACGTCATTTAAAATTTATTTTTCTCGTCATTTAATATCCCTTTCGTTAGCTTCTTATTGTCCATACGAAATCGTAAAAGACCAGATGACCTATTATTAAGGCTTGTTCTACAATCTACGACAATGTCAAACAATCCTAATGTATAGAATATTCCAACTGGACTGCATGTTTTTACTTGTTTTTACTTAATTGGGGATCCAATAATGTCGTATGGATCGTTCGACGCTCTTGCTCTTATGATATTGAAAGGCCTCTTTCTTTTTCTTCGGTTATAGAAATGCAAAATATTTAATTTCTTTATTTCATTTTTATAGTGTAAAGGTGTTCGGTTACACGAGAAACCAAAACTAAGTTACAAAATCATTTCAAGAGGAGTCGCGATAATTATTCTAAGTTATAATGAGATCTATCATTGATTTGTTTTTCTACTACCTGCTCTGGCAAAACAACAAGGTAGAGGTTGGAACCGGTTAAAGATTTTTTTTAACCGGTTAAAATAGATGAATTTAAATTCGGCCGAAATTCAATTTCGGGCCAGAATTAAGAATTTTATAATTGCAAATTATTGTCTAACTCTGGCCAAATTTATAGTACTGCCAAAGTTAATTTTAACCGGTTAATTAACCGGTTAACAAATATTTTCACCGGTTATTAACCGGTTAAAGAATTTTCGGCCGGTTCCAACCTCTACAACAAGGTAAATTTTTGACATCCACTATGTAAGAGAAGCGGAATGGTGCAGGGCGTATAACTATCCATTAATTAATAAAATAATCTAAACCGGTGTCATTCAATGAACATACTTATTAATCAAAAAAAGGAAAGCATTCAATTTTTATATACCAAATGAGAATACAATTTTACATCATGGGCTGACGTATTTCTAAATATAAAAAACCATTATATTACTATTCTTTTTTTTTTTTTTTTTTTTTGCGATTGACTACATAATAGATCATAGTACAACAAAATCATATTAAACATACATGCGATGTTGGTTATAAAAATTTGAAAAAGATATTTAAACTGCAATTATGAGAAATAAATAATGTAAAACTTCATGTTTTCTTAATTTTTTTTTAGTTTCTGTTTTAGCTTAGATTGTTAGAACTTGAGAGATGCAATTTTTCTTTTGTAAATGTATATTAACTTACAACTTTAAATTTAAATCACATCAGTTTTTAGACTTGAAATCTACCTTCAGAATCATATTTATTTAGGATGAGATGTAATGTGCTCCGAGCCTATCGAATGGTGACAACCCGATTGAGCCGATTCTTGGAACCGGTCAGGAGTCGGTTACGGTTCGGTTTTTAAATTGGTTAAAATAGTTTGTAACTCAGGAAAACCCAGAATATGCTGAATTTAAAATCGGTTCTAGTGTGACTGAAATTGATTTTCTGAAGTTGGAATTCAGACGATCTTTGAGTGTCTGAAATTGAGAATCAAAGATCAGTTAACTGAAATTGGAATTATTTTAATTTCAGTTAAATTCTAATTTCAGATAATTGAGCTTCAGATAGAATCTGAATTTCAGACAAGAGGCCGTCTGTAATTAAGATATCTGAAATTTAAACTTCAGATAGAATCTGAATTTCAGACACGAGGCCGTCTGAAATTGAGTTTCTATTGAAGTTCAATTTCAGATAGAATCTGGATTTCAGATACAAGGCAAGGCCATCTGAAATTAAGATATCTGAAATTGAACTTCAGATAAATCTGAATTTTATACAAATTATGTATTTATAAATTAAAATTAAAGTAATATGAAGAATCTATTATCTGTAAATAACCAATTTTTTTTAATAAAATTTTTATAATTTTTAAATGTTTCTTTATTTATTTTTCTTTATTACTCTCTTATAATAAAAAAAAAATTAACTCTATAATTAAGATTTGAAATATTTATAAAAAGTTTAAGTAATTTTCATTTTAAAATTCGTCTTCAGCTTCAAAATCGAATAATTATACAGGTAACTTGTAAAGATAGGAGTTCCTCTTCTATTTACTTTCTGCTGTTTAAAAGAAAGTGAATGTGTTTTAACATGTTCTTCTAATTGAATGATTATTTTTGCTTTTTCAGGTTTGATCGCTTCGGTCTAAAGTTTTAAAAAAAACCTGAAAAATAGATGAAAACGAAAATGAATAAAATCACTTATGTAACTGTATAAAAATAAAATCGAAATTAAAAATTAAAAAAAAAATAAATAATAAAAATAACAAATGAAAAGTAAAAAAATAAAAAATAAAAATAACATATAAAAAAAAATAAAATAAAAAATAAATATATTGGAAATTAATGCTACAAAATTTAATAAATAAATGCTGCGAAATTTAATATAATTTAGCTAAAAGCTAAAGTCCGAAAATAAAAAATTTTAAAGTTAACTGTATTTACGAAATTGTAAAAAAAAAAAAATTGGCATATTTTGATTGTTTAAAATAGTTTTTTATAAGTTGTTTGAAGTTGGAATTCAGATAACAAAAAAAGGTGTCTGAATTCCAACTTCAGACGAAAATCAATTTCAGTCACAACACCAGAACCGATTCTGAGTCCGTTCTTTTGAGCCGTCCTCATCCCTAATTATGTGTGTTTATAATAAGAAACACAATGCATATTTAGCAAGATCTCTTTAGGGTGTAAAATTATTTTTTTATTTTTCGTAAAAAAAAAAAAAGCTGAATCTTCAATGATATTCACACAATTATCTATTATTTAATTAGGCATGCACACAACTCAAACTTCGGTAAATAAATAAATAAATAAAAACCGTTTATTCGGTTACACATTCTTGCATTAGAAACACAGAAATTCAAAAAAAATTTCTTTTCAGTTACTGTTCCATTAGTAGCATGGCGTAATTTCTTGAGAAAACTCAGTCTGGAACTTTGGGATACGAAATATAATACTCGAAAATTAGAAAATCTCTTTTATCCAGGTATGTTTTCTTTTTTCCTGAAACAAAGATATAATTTTTTACTTTGTTTTTGAAATAATTAGATTTCTCGAATAATAAAATTGTGATTGGATACAATGGTAAATTACTTGAATTCGATCCTTGAACTTCAAATAAGTCGTCATGTAGTTTCAACCTTAAATCTCCAGCAATATAATTTTTTAAATATGAAAAAATATTAGGCCAAATTAAACCTAAAATAAATTATTTCGAATTATGAATTTCTTTTATTTTAAACGATTTGCATTTATTGTATTTACCTATTTCCTTTCATATCTTATAGTAGCTCAAACTTTTTAATCTCTTCACCACACGGTGTAGGAACGCGAGTTAACATATGGAAAGCTGATCCATCTGTCAAACGGATAGGAATACGAGAACTTTTCTTATTACATGCCGACATAAAACTGGACCAATAGATTCTTTGCTCTATACAGAATCATCAACCGAATCAATATTCCTAAATTATTTATTAACACAGCTTCAAAGGTTCCTGAAATAGATAAGCATTTTGATTTGACATTATACATACCTTTTCGGCCGTTCGATAGTATTTAACTCGGTGATATGGAATATCTTGATGGATGTCCTCCTATAATAAAACGTCCTTGGGAGCAAACAAGAAGATTACCATCCATCCTGGAGAAGATAAAAACGCTTATTATATGTTTATTGTAGAAGTTTCGATGTGGTGGCTCATGAACCTAGTTGGACAAACTGGTCGTTTCATGGAGATTTTGGTGATTTGTGCAATTTATTGACTCTTATTTATATGGTAAGTACGAAAAATGAACAAAAAGAGAACGAGTGAATCAGTTGGTCATTGTAAGGTGTATATACAGTATATATTTTTATTGTATATTTTACGTGTAGTTAAGTTGATTAAGTTCATCTAACAGAATAAGATTAAAATATATAAAGCCCAAATCCTCCAAATTTTATGAGTTACACATACCTTCCGTTTATTATTATTTTTTTCTTTTATTGATTTTCTGCAATTTTTAATAATTTTCATCGTGCCGAATTTAAAGTCACTGACTCACAACTTATACTAGAATGCATTGATCCAAGTAAAATGAACATAATTTTTAAATTTCATTTATATATCACATAATTTATTAATAAACAAATGAAACATAAAGATAATATCATAAACGTAAAATAAAGGTTCATAAAGGATTTCAAATAAAACTTTAAAACTAATATTCAAGATGATTTTTCTAAATATTTTCAACAATTTCTATAAACCACTGCAAGTATAAAAAATTTTTTTATTAATATTTAATATAGAGGAAAAAAATAAACCAAATTTTAAACATACCGCATCATCATTTGCACCAATCTTATCATAATGACCAATCACTTCGTAAAAAACTTCATCTCCAATAGTAAAAGTGAAATCATGATTACGTACAATTCTATCATAATTATAACGTATGTTATAAGCCTTTAAATTAATTATATCATTTGATCGAAGAATTAATGAATTATTGAATTTAGGTTTCAGATTTATGAATTGACTTTAAAACTTTACGACAGGATACTATTATAAATAAATAATTTTTCAGACTCAAATGCAAACAAATACCAATGTTTTGATTAAATTGATTTGAAGAAAGACTAATTGTCCCTTATTATTATGAAGGAAATCAATTCACTTGAGCAATGGAATGTTGATGCTAGGAAATTAAAGTTACCACAATTTTAATAGTGCAGGCCAACATTACCAATTTTCTTAATTTGTATTTCTCTAAATTGAATAATAGTGTTCTTACCTTTATATTTATAAACAAGACAAGTCAGAAGGTTTTAATATTAGATAAGAATTTATTGCGTTGCTTTCAACGTCGGCGATCTACACTTCCGAAATTTTGTATATTACAGCAAATTTCATAAGTTACGGGACACCTGGTAAAATATTTGCCGAGAAGTTGCCGGGTTCTCGGGTTCTCGGGTTGTCGGCAAATTAAAAAAAATAATAACACGTGATATTAGCCAATCAATTTTTTGTATTTTTTTTTATTATATCGCTTCGGACAATAATAAATCGGTGTTTTTTTTTTTGTCCGGAGCGATATAATAAAAAAAAAATTACAAAAATTGATTGGCTAATATCACGTGTTTATTATTGCCGACAACCCGAGAACCCGAGAACCCGGCAATTTTTCGGCAAAAACTTTACCAGGTGTCCCGTAACTTAATTAAATGCAATTAATTAAAATCTAAGGAACAAATGAATAAATATATTTATCGGGAAAATGAAAACCCGTAATGAATAAATGATAAGGTTATAATAAAAAATAAAATAAATAAATGATCGTGCCTAATTAAAATGACAGACAATTTCTCTAGCGAGATTATCTTGTCTTGTAATCGTTTGTAACTATAAATATTGAAATTTTCTCTAAAAAAAAAAAAATGATTATCATAAAGATTAGCAGAAACTAAGGTTGCGGGGCAAAACCCGAGATAATTTTGACAATTTCGACGGTTTTCGCTATTACGATGGGATTCGAAGGGTTTCGACAAACAATTTCAACGGATTTTGATAATTTCTGACGATTTTGCAAAACTTTGCAATTTTGACTGGTATTTTAACAGGTTGGATTGTAATACAATTCATAGATTGTAAAACTTAAATAATAATTTTGTTTCTTGTTTTTTATTCAAGATGAAGATTCAAATTGAAAAAGCTTTAGTGAAATACTAGGGTGGCATGAGCTGTATTGGATGTTAGAAAAAAGGATTACAATTTCAAGATAATGAAAATTTGGATGAATACTGCTAAAACAAGTTTTACGTCACGGGTGAGGTTTATCACAAACCGCAGCATTTTCCAGAATGTCGTTAGAGCATGATATAGATTTAACATACGTAAATTGTTCAGGTGATTATCAAATGATACAATTATGACATAATCATAAGTTTATCACCTGATTGACGTGAATGAGGTGAATGTTATACAAATTTCCAAAAAAAAAAATAAAGTAATCAAATTTCCTTATTGAACAACAATTACAAAACATATGAGGAAAATGTATTTCCGTAAAAGGAATGATATGCGGGGGCTGAAACTTAATAAATACATTCCAAAAAAATACCTTTTACAGTTTCTCGATTAAAAAAAAAAAAAAATTTAATCGTAAAATGGATTTATTAATTAAGCCCGAAAAAGATTTGGAAAAAGAAATTAGGGATTTAGAACAAGATAAAAAGAAAACTGACGATGAAAATCAATTGCTACTCTCCTTTTTATTGAATGAAATTGGAAGTAAGGATTTAGAAAAATTAAAAGAATTATTATCAGGACAGAAACTTAATGAGATATTGGCTGAATTAGATGAACAAAGGCAAGAAATTGAAAACTTAAATTATGATTTAAAAATAAAAAGCGAAGAATTATCAAAGTTAAGTTCTCAATTCAAACATTCAGAAAAAAAGGTTAAAGTGCGAGAAGAAGCAGCCAAATTCAAGCAAGAAACAATTAATTTCTTAGAGGAAAAGGTTAAAGAAAACGAAAAGGAAGCTAAAGTGAAGCAAGAAATTATTAGCAATTTAGAAGAAAATGTTAGAGAACGGGAAGAAAAAATTAGTTTTTTGGAAGAAAAGGTTAAAGAACGAGAAGAAGCAGCCAAAATCAAACAAGAAATTGTTAATGTTTTAGATAAGAAGGTTAAAGTACAAGAAAATGAAGCTAAAGCCAATCAAAGAATAATTAGCATTCTTGAAGAAAAAGTTAAAGATCGAAAAAAAGAAAATAAAGACAAACAAGAAACAATTAGCAATCTAGAAGAAATGGTTATAGAGCAGTTAGAATTTATTAACGATTTAAAAGAAAAGATGGGAGAAAGGGATGAAGTAATAAAGGCAAATCAAAAAGCTATTAATGAATTAAATGGACAAATTAAAAAACAAGAAAGTCGGTCCAAAGAAACTATTGATGAAAAAGTAAGGATCAGAGAGCAAGGAAAAAAATCGATTGCACAAGAATTTGACGATACTACTGAAAGTTTAACAATTACTAAGCTTAATAAATATATCATATTAAAGACATCGGGAGGATTGCAAAGATATCGAAAATTAACAAAACTCATCTGCGAAGATTTTCATTTAACCAGCTTACCACCTTTACCAAATTCCTTAATGAATCTCAAATGCGATAATACTAAAATAACCCGCTTACCAATTTTAACTAATACCTTCTTAACAACCCTCGATTGCCATAATACTCAAATAACAAGTTTACCAACTTTACCCGACACCTTAAAAGAACTATATTGTAATAATACTCCATTAACTCGCTTACAAACCTTACCTAACTCCTTAACTATTCTTCGATGCGATCATACTCAAATAACAAGTTTGCCAAATTTACCCAACTTCTTAACGCATCTCTATTGCTTTGATTCTCAAATTACTAGCTTACCAACCTTACCTAATTCCTTAACTATTCTTCGATGCGATAGTACTAAAATAACTAGCTTACCAAATTTACCTAACTCTTTAACGGAGCTATATTGCTTTTGTACTCAATTAACTAGCTTGTCAACCTTACCTAACTCCTTGACAATTCTTCGATGCGATACCACTCAATTAGCTAGCTTACCAACATTACCTAACTCCTTAATAGAATTGTATTGCGATAATACTGAAATAACCATTTTACCAAATTTACCTAAATCATTAACGTACCTCTCCCCTAAATATTTGAAAAAAGATTTTATTACTAAGCAAAAAGAAAATAAGAAAAAGTAAAAAAAATATGATTTACAAGTAATTTAAAATATTTTCAATATTACCTTTGTTTCTTCATTTTACCTACATTTATGAATTTTTACTATTATATTTTTCCTTCTTAACGTTCATTTTTTATTCGTCCTATCACAAGCTGTTTTAATTCAATATTTAATTAAAATAAAAACTATCCAAATAAATAATTAATTAATTAACAAATTCACGTATAAAAAATAAGTATGTTTTAATTATTTTATAGTATAAGGCAATGTAACTAATTTAGAATATTTGGTCATGTGTTTTATTAATTAATAATTCATATGAATTAGTTATTCGTTTTTTTACCAACTGCCGGAGTTTGGTTATTATGGATATTTTTTTTTAAAATAAAAATATGTTGTGTAACTAACTATTGGCTACAGTATTACGTCACCTCAATTTCTTTATTTGACCCCTGCCAATTTTTTGTAACTCCCAAAACACGTTAGTTAATCGCTAAAGTGAGTAAATCTGGATATTTTGTGATTGGATAATAAGATATTTCTCTGAGAACAGATACAACTAAAGTAAATGTATCCTTAATATGTAATTTTGATTGTAATTCCAATTAAAAGTCCGAGTTCGTTTCTTATCAAACTTTGAATTTATACAAGTTATAAGCTTGCTTATCAACACCTTTGCCTCGACAACATATAAATTCGGATGATATTTTAAATTTTTTACAACTAGCGCAATAATATATTAGCTACTTTATAGGTAACGGTGGTTGTGATCTTATTTTAAGAAATACATGTGATTAGATAGAATGGTTCGTTTTAAACAACTTTCTCAAAAATTGATAAAAGTGGTCCCTCGTATATAATTATTATTTTGAAGAAATATCAACTCCATAACAGTAACGTAATTGAACACATTTAGGTGTTTGAATGATAAAATGCATTTCACCATTTTCATAATTACTAGATATTGTAGTGAAATTGGATAAAAGATGATCTTTTTCTATTTCTATCGATTTACGAATCTCAGCTTTTTCTCCTGTTATGGGTTCATCAATTAATCTTTTATGTCTTTATAAATAAAGTGCCTTGAGATGTAAAACGATTTGAAGCAATAATCCAGAAAAAGTATTAAAAATAGTTGTCAAATTTGTACGCTATTTTAGTGAATTATGGATAGCCTTTTCAAATGAAGAGAATGGTTATAATAGCCAAAAAGAGAAGATATGCCTCCTTAAAAAATTGCTGGAGACTGTGATTCAAAAAAAAAGAATATTATTTAATATTCTTAAAAGTAAAATTTAAAGCAAAAGAAATAAAAAAAAGATCTTACCTAGCCTTTTTCAAGCTGAAATAGAGTTTGTTTCTAAGTAGAATTAAAAAAAAATAAAAAAGCTTCTGGTTTCTTTCAATTACCTTTAAAATCTGATTATCTAAAAAAGTTAAACCTACAAATAGTTAGAGAAGTTAGAGTTAGAAATGAATTTTTAATTAAAAAAATTAAAAATAGCAATACTCTCCTTCTATTTACCAAATTGACATTCCTGAAAAACAAACTCCTTTGAAAATTACTGGAGACTAGTGATTTAAAAAATAAAAGAATATTATTTTAATATTCTTAAAAGTCAAATCCAAAGTAAAAAAAAATAAAAAAGAGATCTTACTCAGCCATTTTCAATCTAAAATAGAATTTGTCACTAAGTAAAATTAAAAAAAATTTTCTTTATTTAGGGTTTAACAAATATCATATTATAAGTGCCAATTATTTTCAAATCTATTTTTAAATTTTAAGAGTTGAGTGCTACACAAATTTTTAAACACAAATTGTTTATTCTGGTAATAAGGTAATATATTATAAAAATTTAACTAAATAAAGTTTATATATTATATATTAATATAAAGCAAAAATCTCAATTTCGATAAGAAGGTCTGAGAATCTTATTTTCCTAGTAAAGAACCTAAATACCTTTTAAACCCCTATTTAAACATATATTTAAACTATTAATAATGTTTCAATTAAAGTTAAGATCTAAAATTTTTTAATTTTTTAAATAATAATGTCAATTATTTTCAAATTTTATGTTGATTATTTATAAAATCTAATTTTAGATTTTTTAACTGATGTTATATAAAAAAAATGAGAGATTTTGATAACTTAATTGCTTACTTTATTAATAAGATAATCAATTATAAAAATTTAACCAAATAAAGTTTATATATTATATCCCTTCATCTGTAATACAGGTAAATTTGCTTGCGAACATAAAAAAAAAGTATTAATTTTTTAATAAAAAATAAAATATTAATGTTAATAATATAATTATTATATAAAAAA